GCATAGAAAGTGATCGAATTGGAGAATAATGTCTGAATCAAAGTTGTAGCCAGATGAGTTAGCTTTCCAACGCATTTTGAATCGCCTCAATCGGATATCGGAATACAAAGTTATGATAAAAAACTGAAAGAAAGTGCAACTGCCTGTTTAAAATAAGAAATTCCGTTACATAGTCCGTTAAAACAACAAATTCTGTTAGTTTTTCCGTTAAAAACAAGAAATTCCGTTACATAACCACTTTTAATATATAGAAGATATTATCCGTCAATCTATTATTTCAAAATGCATTCTTCCAAAATAATGTGGCTCAAACACACCCACAATATGCTATATTGTTATCAATCTTCAGTCTAAGCATGTAATTTTGTGATAATTCTATTAAATTTATGCATTCATCTTAGGAGTGCAAAGGCAGAAGCAGTATCTTGTTAAGTACCACGGCCTTGCTCATGTCCACAACCATTGGGTGCCGGAGAAACAATTGCTTCCTGAAAACTATTATCTTATTGCAGAATTTAATTCAAAACATCAGGTTAAATCATTTCTTCGCTATATGTTCAATTGATTTCTTGGATAATTGTGTGTTATTAGTTGGCAAAAATAACAATTGTTTACTAATAGCACTTTTATTAGCTTAGAAAATTGGTGCTTAATAAATATGTTTGTTTCTGACATTTAGGTCGTGAAGTGGAATGCAGAATGGACAGTGCCACATCGTCTGTTGAAGAAAAGATCAGTTATCTTCCCTAGACAGCAAAATAAGCTTCCGATCACGCCTTCCATTGATATCTCAGATTTCCAGTATGAATGGCTTGTGAAATGGCGTGGTCTTGGTTACAAGCATGCTTCATGGGAGTTAGATAATTCTTACACTCTAAGCTCCCCTCGAGGTCAGAACCTCGTGAAAGATTATGAAATTCGTCTTCAGAAGGCAAAGAGAACAGTTGACAAGGTCAATATATGCCAGAAAATATTGAGTTTGTCATTATTCTTTAATCCATTAATTGATTTTGCATACTAATGATTGATTTTCAAACATTATGGCAGAAACTTCATCCTAACGTGCTATGTTAATAAGCTTGTTTGGTCTAAATTTTTAGGAAAATCAATTGTACATAATTTGTCTTTGTTTTTGTTTTAACTGGAAGCTGGTTTTTACTGGTTTCAGTTTCATGTTTTGGGGGCTTAGGAAATATATTTTAGCCAAGCTAGGAGGATTTAGGAGTGTGGAACTAATGAAATTTAGAGGAAGAGATTCCAAATGGTGAACAATTTTTCTTTTTAGGTACATTGTTATCAAATATGGTACAATTGGAGATGACGATGTAATAAATTTAGAACAGGTTGCTTAATATTGGCAAGCATTCGGATTTATCATGTTATTGGTATGCACCTTTCTCAGATTAAAAAGAGTATTTTAAAATGACAATAGGACCAACTGTACCTCTGAGGGCATGAGTCTTGGCCTAGTGAATAACAGCGTATTTCAAAGGTGATTGGAACGGAATTGGGAGAAGCAAGGCATATGGAATTAGGAATAACAGTGGTAGGGTTTTCTACTGAAATGCACATTGTCTGACCATTTATTCTCTTGGATTTCCTCAAAACAATATCCTTTCATTTAAATGGTGGATATCGAAGGGGCTGATATTTCTAATAATAATAAAAGCATAGTCCTCCATCAGTACTGTGTATAGCACCATTTCCTATCTTCTCTGATAAAAGGTTGATCATATTATGATCTTAAGTAGCAATTGATTTCTCCAATTTGAAATATGTTAATTTTAAATAACTCTATCAATGAGGTGCATATAAATATTGACCTTAAGTTTCAACTGTACGAACACTTACCCATCCACTACTACTAAGACTAGCACTAGCATTGTAATTGCGTTTGCATGTTCTTGCTGATACTACAGAGTAAAAAAGGATCATATTTCGAGCTCTCAGAGCTTCCGGCAGGAGGATCACTTCCGAATTCTTACGATCTATTGAAACATGTGAACAAGCTGCGCCAGTGCTGGTACAACAACCAGAACGCTGTTGTTTTTGATAACCAGGTGATCTTTGTTTGATATTTTTATTGAACAGTCAAGTATAGTCTAGGTTACTTACTGCTCCATGCATTGTTTTAAATACTAATATTTTCTTTTGGTGATAAACAGTGCATGTATTGCCAATCCTTGTATTTTGAAACTTGGTTTCGAATGGATGTTGCCTAAACTTTGGGGGTTTTCATGTATTTCCAATATTTTCTTCTTGTTCTCTTTCTTAAAGATTCTATCTATTGCTTAACCTCCATTGCTTGTGTACGCATCAGTGCATCAATTGACCTTTCAATATGTGTATGTTGAATAAAATGATATTTCAATAAGCTCTCTCTCCTTTTTTTTTTTTCAATTTTTTTCTGGGATAGGAGTTTCTAAGCTTCTTCCCAATATTTTAGTGGGGGGTTTGGAATTGATATTTAATAAGCTTGAAGCAGTATCTTTTATAAATGTTAGCAGATTATTTAATGGATCTTATTGATTGTAACCTTGCAGGAGTGGGCAATGACTGTGATTTTCTTTGTTCTATCGTTGACTGAAGTCTGTCAGCCTTTCCTCATTATTGTGGCTTCAGATGCAATTTCTCAATGGGAAGCTGAGTTCACACGACTGGCCCCATCCATTGCCGTCACAGTTTATAGCGGAAGCAGAGATGCAAGGAGAAGAATTAGGACATTTGAATTTTATGAGGAAGGGGGTTGCATGATGCTTCACGTACTCTTGTCTTCTCCAGAAGCTGTTTTTGAGGTATGGAGATTGCTTCAGCTTTCTACATTTTTGGTTAAAATTGTAAAAAGATATAATTCAGTATTTATTTGTTCAGTTTTTTGTTCTGTGGCTCTGTGGTCTTATGGTTATGTCTTACTTTATTTTTGATTATTTTTGCAGGATTTAGACATACTGAGATACGTAAGATGGGAAGCAGTTATAATTGATGAGTGCCAGCACTCTGGGATAGAAAATCATTGGGAACAAATTAAAATGCTACCTACCGATTCTAGGATACTTCTTTTCAATGGTCAAATAAAGGCAATTTTGTCCTCCTTGTCCTCAATCTTCTTGTTTATATTCAGGACAGGTTTTGAATAATCTTTTTGAAATTTTCAGGATACTGTATCTGAGTATCTTAATCTACTATCATTGCTTGATTCTCATGATGATCTGGATAAATTTAGAGGCTTCAAGTCTGACACAATTGATAATCTTGGTAAACTAAAAGAGAGATTATCACATTTCATTGCTTACGGCAGCATTCCTGAGTTATCCAAGTTTGTGGAGTATTGGGTTCCTGTTCCAATGTCGAATTGCCAGCTTGAGCAGTACTGTGCCACACTTCTTTCAAACTCTATCCCTCTTCGTTCTTGCTCAAAAAGTGATCCTGTTGGGGCCCTCCGTGATATTCTTTTTACTGTCCGAAAGGTTTGCTTTATCAATCTCACCATCTGCATCACTACATGATGTCGTTTTTCCCCTTCTCTTTTACACTTTTAAGTCGGTCACAACTCAAGCATGTGAATCCAAAATTTCATTTTTCTTCCAAATAGAAGTTCATGGCTATCGTAATGAACAAAGAGTACTTTATGGGGTTGGAAAATGGTACTGAGTAATTATGACTGCTAAAACATGATATCAAACTTGCATGAAAACTTGGCTGTATAACCGTATGAAAATTATAAACACCATCAATTTTTTGTCTGTGTATTACACTGTTACCACTGCAATATCTTTTCTTTATTTTGGTTCTTTTGCAAATAACAAGCACTTTGATATTTAGTTACATGTCATTTCTTGATAGTGTTGCGATCATCCGTATCTCGTGGACTCCTCTGTTCAAGAAGGCTTGATAGCTGAGGGGCGTGCAAATGAGCTTTTGGATACTGGAATAAAAGCATGTGGCAAATTACAGCTTCTTGACATTATACTTTCAGAGATAAAAAATCAAGGACAACAAGTGCTCATACTTTTTCAGGTATACGACGATGGTTAGATTTAGATTAGATTAGATTCCGCGTAAATCTTCTACTTAAGTTCATATCTTAGCTATCAGTCCCACCATTTTACATCTCGTATTCTCTCCTCTGTTTCACACCGTGCGCCAGCATCTTTATTTTCATGTAGAACTCCAACGTATCTTTTTATTGTTTTAATGTGACTTTCAATGGTTGCTTTTATTTTGACCAACAGACAATTGTTGGCTTAGGAGGGGCATCAATTGGAGATATATTGGATGATTTTATGCGTCAAAGATTTGGTGTAAATTCTTATGAACGTATTGATGCTAGAGTTGCCCCATCCAAGAAGCATGCTACTGTGAATCGTTTTAACAAGAAGGAAACTGGGCAGTTTGTTTTCTTACTAGGAAACCGTGCTTGTTCTTCAAGCATTAAGCTATCATCAGTGGATATTGTTATCATATATGATAGTGAGTGGAATCCAGCAAACGATTTGAGGGCGCTACAAAAGATATCCTTTGATTCAAACTTTGAGCAGATCAAAGTTTTTCGGTTATATTCATCCTGTACTGTTGAAGAAAAAGCCCTGCTTCTGGCAAAGCAGGTTCTTAATCTTGATAACAATCTGCAAAACTTAAGTAGGACCACTAGTGACACTCTGCTCATGTGGGGTGCTTCTTATTTATTTAGCAAATTGGACGATTATCATGCTGAAAGCAGCCCTATGTCTGTTTCAAACATTTCATCAGAGCAATTGCTTTTGAATGACACTACCAAGGAGCTCTTGGCCATACTTCTTGGAAGCTGTGATTCAGGTTGTATCATTTCAAAAGTTCAACTGGGTGTTGGACGTTACAATATAAATCTTCCCCTTCTTGGAGAGGGAAAAATTCAGTTGAAAGATGGAGAAGAGGCTCATGTTTTCTGGAGAAATCTGTTGGAGGGTAGAAATCCAAGGTGGAAGCATTCATGTGGGTTAACTCCACGTAATAGGAAAAGAGTTCAATTCTTTGATGGATTAAATAGGAATCCAGACACTGAGAGTGATGAAATTGGAAAGAAACGTAGAAAGGTGGCAAATGAAAATGTAGATCCAGACTCAATTGAAGTTGAACTCAGAGGGCATCAAATGACTCAAGCTGCTGGTTCTAAAGGAGGTAATAATAAGTGCCGAACTCTTGACTTTACCTACTGATTGTTAGTATTGTATCTTAAAATTAAGCTCGAGAGTACTAAACTGTTGTTAGGCAGGAAAGGCGTTAATATATCAGATGCCTATTCATTGTGAAATTCCCCTGGTGATGCAGGGTCTTCTAAAGCGGTAGCCACCAACAAGTCCCTATCTTTGGAAGAATCAACTTCTTGTCGAACTGACAATGTTAATCCAGAAAGCAACCCAAATTTCATATCTGGTCAGAACTCTCTCGATCCTGGAGTCCACGTAGACAAACCACAGGAAATAGTAACAGCATCCAATGAGCAGAAGAGCCTCCATATTTTACTAAAAGGAGAGATGTCAAGACTCTGCCAAATCCTTAAAGTTTCGGTACCATCTCTCGTTTCCCTTTTCTATGCTCGTTAATCGAAATGATATCAATTAGAGATTAAGGACTCTGCACTACTTGTTCTCTATTTTCATTCCTGTACTATAACATTTTTTCTATTATAAAAATCAGAATATACAGATCTATGACTTAGTTTGATCCTTATAATTGAGGATGCTGGGAGGGTGTTACACCATAGTTTGACAAATTTTTGGTAGACCTTTGCTAGATGTGTCTCACCACGGAACGTACATCGCTAATAGATTAAGAGCCTTTTTGAGCCCCATTTTTGGTGTAGAATGCATTTTGGAATAGTAGATTGATGGAAAACGTCTGGTTAAAAAATAAGGAAACGTTTTGGGTTTGCGTGTAATATTATTTAATTGAAGAATGTGTAGTTGAAAAGAAGAAAAATGTATTTTGAAAAAAAAAATGGGGATCAAACAAGGGCTAAGTCAAAGCTTCTACTTTTACAGAGATTGTCAAATTATATTGGCTACTGAAACGAGATAAATACTGCCCCTGAATCCAGTCTGCCTTCAACATGTATATTTCTTGATTATTGTTACGTACAAAACCAGTATTTCACCATCTTAAGTTCTGAAGGTGCATGTTGTACTGTATTATGCTGGCTTCTTGGATAGCGTTTCTTTTTCTACATGTGATACTTTGAATCTAGGTAGCAGATTCTGTTGGAAGGTGTGGAAGTGAGTGCACGAGATATTGGTGTTTGAGTATTTGAGTTATGAGAGCACCTCTAATGTGTCAGTATGCGTGCTATAAATATTAGGTGTAATATCTCAGGAAAATCAGTTTTAAATTAAAACGCAATTAAGATTTGATATTCATTAGTTTACCGAGATAGAAAAGATTAATGCATGGAAAAAAATAAAAAAGCAATTATGATTTGATAGGTAGGAATATTGTAAAACATTAATGAACATATTTTACGAGAGCGATGCTTCAAACAAAATGGTTGTCTTTTTGACATTAGCGTTGACGTGCTTACCAAAAATTAAAGGATCACGTCTCGCTTGCGCCAATTTCAAGTTTATGATCAGATGCGTTCCATACTTGTCACTGTTCATATGCATCAATACATGGAGAGAGCCAATCTCCATTATACGATTGTGTGGCGTCTACAAAACCATTATAACAGCTACACGAAGATTGCCATTCTCACCAGAAGCTGCTTGCATGTGCCAATTAGCATTGTGTTACTCTTAATAATGACGAATTAGGGCACCACCGTTTTCTTCGTTCTCTACATCCTTTAAACAAAGTAGGATCATGTGAATGGTCTTCTGTAAAACCATAACATCTATAAATTGAAGTTGTTAGAGATAGATGAATTTACAAGTTTTTCGCTTTCTCCTTTACTTGAAAGGGGAAGGAATTACAGAAGGGCAAATGGAGGATGATGGCAAAGGAATTTATTGGAAACTAATAGCGACAAGGAGTATGGGGGAATTCATTATGTTGATGATTCCTTAAAGGTCGTATTTGTAGTGATCGTGTAGGAGATTGTGGGTTAATTTTACTTTTAGACATAGTTTATAATTAGTCATGCGATAAGTAATTTGAGGACTGGGGGCAATTTTATTGATCTATTTTATGTTTGTTGAGAGTTACACTTTGATTTTGTTAATTGTTCATTATGGATATTAAGATGGTTTATAGTTTATAATAAGCATATTTTTGTACTTAAAGCTTGTTGTCTTAAAGCTTGCGCCTCAAAATGCCTTGACTTTTGTGCTTTGTCTCGGGGAGTTAAAACACTTTAGTACCTAAATGAGCCTTTATAAACATTGGAGGGACGATAAAATTATTCCTTCTACTTTTATCTTTAACTCACCCATTCACATGCAAGCTGAATTTATTTTTTCATGCTAAACATTCCTTGTTTCTTTCATCTTTTCCAGATTCAACCCATTAATAAAGATCCCTACCCATATGTGCTCCTCCTCCTCATGCGATGGTGATGGAGACATGCGATTGCACCTCTTTTCTTTCATCATTGTCTCCAAGTTCACAAATTTCCAATGCTTACATGTTGGAAATTCTTCCCCAATGGAGACCTTATTCATGCGAAATCGAGCCAACATCAAAACCTTTAATTCTTCTCAAATTTGAATTGAACGGCGACAAGAAACCTATTGAAATTATGCCCATGCCTCTCCATCAAAGCAAGCGATAGAGGGTTCCACCTTTCCCTCTCTGACAACCGATTCGTTGAGAAAATTCTCTCTGCCTTAGAATCTGTATTTCCACGAAGAACAAATAGAAAATTGAAAGGAATTACACGAAATTGTGAGCATTTGAGAGGCCGACTCCCTTTCGATACCCTTCTTTCTTGTTGCGTAATATGGAACTACCCTCCATTATTTATGGGGAGAAGCCTATACTACTTATTGCATTAAGTTCCCATAATACCCCTACGTATTGAACTAACTACTAATTTGCTATCAAATACCCGGCTCGGTCGTTGACCCTGATAAATAAGGAGATTCCTAATCTTTGGTTCATCTCATGATATAATCTAAATAAAATTATTTCTCAAAAAAAAGCAAATGTGTATGTGTATATATGTATCTTCTTTCATTCTTTCTTAGTATTTCATAATTTGTCTATTATATTGCTCTACTTTTCAGATTTCATCTTTTGTCATGAGATTTTGTCCTTATGTTTTTAGATTTGTTGTTCTTAATTCTAAAATATATTTCTTTATATCTTATTCCTCTCTCACATCTCGTATTCTTAGATGTATATAATGCCTAAAACGAATTAACTAATAACATTTGCTTTGACTCATTTTCTCTCCACACTATATTATCTTTAGAAATTGATCTATACATATCATTTGTATCGCATGACAAAAAAGTCATATAATTTTTTTTTTCAAATTCTTTATCTTATTTTTTTTTCTTAAAATTTCCTCTTCATAACAAATATATATTGTTTTGAATAAATTATGGCTAATTATAATAAATTAGTGAAAAAAGAAAACATATTTCGGTTAGGATAACAGTTTCATATTTTTTTGGTTAGTATTTAATATAAAAACTTAAGCGGCATAGTTCTATTAAGCAAGTTAGTCGACATGGTGGTCTTAATTTCAAATCCTAAGTCCAGCACAATAATATTTTGTTGAAATGGACCAGTTTGCTTAGGAATGGCCGTCCAATTAAGCTGGGTTTTGACTTTTTTCGGATGGTTATTGACCAGTTCTTGTGCAGAATGGTCCAGTGGTGTTACCCAACATGGTTCCATGGCAAATTGAAGCTTTGTTTCTAGAAGGCCTTTTTTCGGAAACATTATTCTGACTGTGGTCTGTGATCAAGAAAACCTTGTCTTCAACCTAAATATTGATTGTGAATTCGAAGATTTTGGAATAGTTTTCTTACTGTGCTGATGGAGAAGGTGTTTTGATTTATTCTTATACAGAATAGTTGACGATAACTTGGTTGTATGTATGTTTGGATGTGGAACTAATGGTTTTAGCCTAAGGGGATATTGAAGCTGTAACAGATTGGTTGAAGCTTATATAATGGACATTTCAGTAGTTCTACTGATATGGTGGCTCTTCAACAGACTGATGTAGTGGTGACTAGCTCTTTCGAAAGGCCATATGTAAATCATTTAAATATTACCTTACAACATTTTCAAATGACTATTTAGGCACTGAAATGCTTTGTTTAGGTTTCATCTCAGATTTAGATAATTCTGTGAAGGAAACACGAAGCAATTTACATACTTGATGTCTACTTTTCTCGATGAAGTCTGAACTAATAGACAAAATTGAGAACAACTTTCTTTGAATGGAGCAGATGCCGTAGGACAAAAATTAACTGTAAAGCTGTCAAGTTCCATTATTTACAATATAAATGGAACTCTGATTTCTGTATTCCTTATTCCAGGATATATGGTTCTACTGCTTTGTTTTTAAGATTTTAGGATTTAACTTGTGTAGTTCTGAGTCCTTTTTGGTAAGTCAACAAGGTAATGTAATCAGAATCAAGATTTCTAATATAAATATTCCACTTATTGTTCCTTAGGGATTTATAGTGAAGCAGAAACTTTATATTGTATACATGAGGAGTTCAAGGTCTAGTTGATTTTTTAAAATAGATAACAACAAAAATCTCATGTAATGAGATGGTTGTTATGAAATGATTTTACGCATGATTCTGGGCTGTTATTTTCTGTAGGGTCCCCTCTGCCCATACGCACAAGATGCCTTGATGCATGTTATCGCAAGAATGTAGTGGTAGCTCCCCGGAATGATGAATTCACTTTGTAAACATGGCTGCTGCTTGGGAATTTGTTTTCTTGACACAACTTTCTTGGGAAGAAACATATCGAACCTTTTTGCTCTTTCTAATGAAGTGAAGAAGAGTAAAGAGAAATTTGAGAGGAGGAAAAAACTCAATTTTTATTAGTACTTGAGTTCTATAGAAAATGAAATTCTTGTTCCCATTTTATAGTTAAACTCAAATCAAAGGAAACCACTATTCTCTAACCGCATCAAAATATCATCAAATCCATAGTAATCTAATCTGAAAATCAAATAAAATCCTAACTGCTTTCTTTTTTCATAATTTATGTTTTTAATATTATGTTGTTTCTCCTTAGAATCTGCTTTGATTTTTCTGTTTGTTTTATACCATGATCTTTCTTTATTTGTTAAATGGTGTGCATAAATTCACTTTTCAATTTGGAATATATAGTTATTCTTTTCCAAGAAATCAGAAGGAAGAAAAACTCTTGCCAAGTATGTTGTAGGGTTTTCAAGTGCTAGCTACTTCATGCAAGAACCTTAGGAACAATGCAACTTTATCGTGCTCTGATAAAATTCCCAGTTGTTTCTTTTACTATCTAATATGTTCATATGGCATCAAATGCAGGGAGATGTCATGCATACAGTGGAAAGATTCCTTGAATATGTCATCAAGAATCACCATGTCAGTAATGAATCACCCACCATCATTCAGGCTTTCCAGATATCTCTGGTTAGTGTTTTCAAACAACGTTTAGTATATTACCTGTTTGAATGCCAAAGCGTAAATCCACATCTCAAAATTTTAGTCAAGTTCACCAGTGAAGAAAATTAATTTTGAGATTCTCCCTTTATAATCCCAATGCTTTACATACCAAAACTTTTGACCTTTGCTGAAACATAGAAACATCGATTTAGCGTGTGGTTGGGTGGGGAGTGGGGGAATTCTCACTTCAGCTATAGGAGGATAGGGCGTGCCTCTTAACTTGTTCTTTCTCCGATCTTCAAGTTTCTTCTTGTTAGTTAATTCTATTTTATATGTACACTAGTTTTATTAGGATTGGGTTGTGTCAAACAGCCACAAAACCCTTAAAATGTTATGGGTTATGAGAAGGCTGTACAAATGGCGAAGGCAGTTTGAGACTTGTTTTTTGTTTAGGAGACAGGTATTTGAGTAGAAAATTGAGAAAAAGGACCAAACTTAAAGAGGTTAATTCATAAATAAGAACTTTGGAGCAACTTGAAGTGATAGACTATATTCCAGAAGCCAAACATGCTCTAAAGGTTTTTAGATTAAGTAAAACTATGGTGGAATACATGGAATGTCCTTTTAATCTAGTAAGTATAAGGCTGATAGTGGAGTTACAATATAGGATCATAGCATGCCAATAAGTGATTGTTGTAGGGACTTAGGTTCGATTAATGATATAGATGGGGATCTTGAGTAGGATGCAATACACATGATTGAAGTGTGTTCGGAGAAATTCTACATGGATTCTATGTTATTAGGTGTGCGTGGTGAAAACACAATTTTTACAACAATAGATTGGCTATTCTTTATGGTATCAACTACCAAGTGTTGGGCTATAAGGGAAAAGAAGGGGGGGGGGGGGGGGNGGGGGGGGGGGGGGGGGGGGGGGGGGGGGGGGGGGGGGGGGGGGTGTGATAACTTGTCCATAAGATGAACTTAGTGGAAGTTAAGGTGGATGTGTTTCCATCTAGAACGGAGAAAATAGGAAGCAAGAAAATATACTAACAAGTGGAAGTGTGCTGACAGGAGAAAAGAGGGAAGGCAAGTGGAAGTGACAACAATTGAAGAAACAGGGAAGGATGACATATGTGATTGGGACGGATTTTGCAAGGATTTAAAGAAAGTCATCTCTTATGAGATATGCAATCCAAGTTGAATATGTTTGACGAGGGAGAGGCTAACCAAACTTGACTGTGGTTTAATGTGTTTTCGATAGCTTAAAACGGCTTAATTAGATATCTAGGTGTTTTATCTTTATGGGCAGGGTCTAAGCCTCAAGGCAAACTAATAAAGTAATTTACAATAATATAAAAATATACTCATAATTAACCATAAATAATTTTAAAAAAATCTACAACAAAACAAATCAACCAAAAAAAAAAGTCCTACTTGGAAACTAACCTATTACAATAATATAAAAATATACTCATAAATAACCATAAATAATCTTAAAATAATCCACAACAAAACAAATCAACCAAAAAAAAAAGTCCTACTTGGAAACTAACCTAAAACATAGAAATACAGTAGTACATAATAAATACTCAAATTAGTACTTATAAAAAAAATTATAATATAGTAATAGAAGTAGAAACAAATTAGAGTTCTCTTATATTATCAGATTCATCACTATGAATAGGATCTTTTAAGGAAATTGTCAACATCCTCCTCCTCGTCACCATTAATGTCTTCTGATTCTTTGCCATCATCCTCCACTAGCAATCATGTATTCTCCTCCCCCTTCCCCTCCCCTTTCCTTCTCAGTGTAAAGACATAAAAAGGAAAATAGAATACCTGTAAAACATTCTAGATTATCAAAGAGATAGCCCTAAAAGTTAAGAAGAGGATCACAAAACAATATTATGGTATACTAGTAGAAGTAGAAAACAACTTAAGGTCTGTTTGATAGCACGCAATTTTCTAGGGAAGTTGGAATTCGTTTTCCATTTTTCACCTTTTAGACTGTTTGGTAGGTTAAATTTTCCATGGAATTCATTTTCCACCTTTCCCTCATTTTCCACCCAATTCTTGGTTTTCAAGGAAAACCAATTCCCACCACATTGGTGAGAATACGTTTTCCAGGCTACTTTTGCTATTTTTTTATTTTTATTTATTTATTTTTTTTTACAATGAAAACAAATTCTATGGACAATTGTAAAAAAAAAAATTCCTTTAATGGACAATTTCGATGAAAAAAAAGTCAAACGAACACCAAAAGATCCAAAATTTCAACATTTTCCTGGTGGAAAATTATATCAATCAAACACAATTAATTACAATTCCCAGTAAAACAAATTCTAGACAATTCAATTCCCTGTAATTTATTTTCTTTCCACCCAAAATTCCATCTTTGCAATCAAACGGATCCTTAAAGATCTCTTATATCATCACTATGAATAGAATGTTTAAGTAAATTGTCAACATAATCCTCGTCACCATTGGTTTCTTGTCATTCTTTGCCATCATCTTCCACTAGCAATCATGTATTCTCCTTCCCCTATCCCTTCTCCGTGAAGACATAAAAAAGAAAATAAAAAACGCGTAAAACATTCTAGATTATCAAGAATTGCGCAAAAAGCTTGTCCAAAAAGCACAAGACAAAGGGGTGAACATTTTAGTCCCCTGGAGGTTTAGCCTTGAGGAGTAAGCCTTACTAATGGCCCTCAGGAAGTAAGCTTTGAGGAGTTCTATAGAAGCCCCACTTTAGGCAGGAGGTGTGAGCCTCAAATATATTTTTTGTTTTGAAGGATTTGTTTGCATTGGATGTTCTGGTACATGTAGCAATTGATCAAATGGGAAGGCAAAAGGGCATTCGTGTAAGCCACTCTAAATCTCTTGGGAGTATAACAGTTTTAGCTGTCCTAGGGAAATCTATGAACTCAACTTGATTATTCTTTGTAAGTATATGAACCATGAATTCCTTCTTATTCTTGAGATAATAAAATAATGAAAAGATAATACGCAACCAGACTTGTGCTTTAATTTGGGCCTACAAATCGGTGGTTCTGAAGAAATTCAGTCGTCCTCTAGATGTAGAACCAAAAGTAGTTTATCTAATGTATCTTTAAAATTATTTTTGGAAACTTCTTATATACAGAACCTTTTTTGGGTTCTTTCTCCTTTGGAGTCCATGGTAGGGACTATCCTTACACTTTGGAATATCTCCTTGTTGGAGGCTACCCACTTATTGAACATGCAATATTCTTCCTACATATCATTTGTTGTTCTCTTCTAGTTTCATGTACCAATGTAAATGAACATTCACAGATAAGCATAATGCAGTTTGATTCATTTACATATAATAGAGAGTTCTGGCCGTTGTATGCTGTGATATATGTGCATCTCTGTGCTGCCCTCAGAGACATAGGAAAAGTATACACTCTGATTATGCTTTTAGTTTATGAGTGATGATTCACTATGATTTTGATTGTTTAATTTCTATATGTACTGCTATTTTGTCAGTGTTGGATTGCAGCTTCAATCTTAAAACAGAAAATCGATAAGAAGGATTCACTCATGATAGCAAAACAGTTTCTGAATTATGGATGCACAGAAGAACAGGCAACCCATGTTTATTCGAAGATGCGATTGTTGAAGAAGATGTTTTTGCAGTGCTCAGAGAACAACAAAGAATCTAGAAAGGATTGGTTGTTATCGACAGAAGATGTCAGCAAAGAATCATGTAAAGCTAATGCAGGGATACCACAATTTTCAGCAGTTGACCTGCAAAGTGTGAAATCTGATATTGAAAGATCAGCAAATAAAGAGCCTTCCAGTTATCTGACTGTTTCAGAGCATAAAAAGCCAATGAATGACAAAGTTGATGAATGTGAAATTGAAGAAAAGTTAAAGAAAATCCAGAAAAAGTGTGACAAGCGGTTGAAAATACTTATCCAGAAGCAGCAGGAAGACGTTAAGAAATTCCACAGAATTTGGGAGGAGAAAAGGGAGCGATTGGAGAACGAACACAAATTGGAGTCGGCCTGTATCCGGTCTATACATGGTCAAGGTTCAGTAGCAATCGACAAACTCAAGCTTTTGGATTCCGACTTTGCAAAGAAAATGGAAGAGTTCAAGCGCTTGAAGGACATGCACGTTAAAGATCTTGAGGCAAGTCAGTTATCTGCAAGGAGTTACGAGAGACAAAAGGCAGCCAGTTGGTTGGCCAGAGCAAAAGCCTGCCATAATGAACTTAAAGATGTTGATGAGTCAGTTGGATCTCAATCTAAAGAGAAGGTTGGATGCTCTGAAGCCTGTGCACATAATACGATCTGTGCCCCTGAGAATGCTGCCCCCATTTTTAAACAGCATACTGAAGACACAAATCATAACAAAGATGTGCATCTCATGCAAGGGAATGATGTAGCACCATCTAATACGTGTGTCATTACACATGCTGAGACTGTAGGTAGTACTGTGCCTACTGATACTGCTGATCATCTGTTAAGTATAACTTCTGAAAGGGAGTTGGGGACATGTTCCTTTGAGAGAACATCCATTGCTGAACTGCCCATTGAATTGATTCATTCCAGTCATACCACTGAAGAGATGGCTTCTGGATACTTGCCTGGTTCTGGAGAACTGGTTTCTGATGAAATTTTAATGGTTCCGGCGAGTGAAGAGATTCCGACAGAGGTGCCTGCAAATGTTTCTGAAGATGTGAGTCTTATTCACCCTGTAGAACGTATTGATGTTTCCAATAAGAAGTGTGATAAAGGAGATATAATTGATTCCAATTTGTCTGATGATGTGAACCAGAGAGATGGTAGTGAGTCAATCGGTGGCTGTCTAAGTTTGGCAGAACAATCATTGTTACCTCTGACAGAAACAGTTGCTCCTTCAGATGGTTCTTTGCCCCGAAGTCATGTAATATCCTATTCCTTTCTGAATTGTCTACATTTATGCTATTTTATCTCGTTTTCCCGTCCGCAATGCACCAAAGAATAACTCTTATCTTTCACCAAGTTACGGTATCCTATAAAAACTAGACTGTCTAAAATAGTTTTCTAGATTGATAGTGCTAGTATTGGTTATTTTGGAGAAGTGTCTTGAAATAATCTTAAAGAGTGGACTGGCTATTCACCATGTATTGATACTCTTGAACGTGTATTTATTCCTCTAGCCCTTGATTTAGTAACAAATTTGAGCGGGAGGGTGGATCTATTTCAGCTTAGAATGTGCTTTTTTTGACCCGTGCAGACTTCCCCGAACTTCTTACAAATCTAACTATAGAATTACAACTAATAAAAATATGCCATTTGATCAGGTACTACTAGAAAGTTCATCTGGGGAATTTCGAGACGAAGATGCACCAGTCTCAGAAAATCAAAGTGCTTTGCAGGTTGAAGTTGCAATCTCCAAACATACTAACTCTGAAACCCCTGCACCGTCTAATGACCATCTTCCAGAATATCAAAGTACTTTGCAGGTTGAAGATGGAACCTCGGATTGTATTGACTCTGAACCGCCTACACAGTCTAATCAGGCACTGGTGACTGAGAATCATGAGCAGCTGCAGCCAGATTGCATTGATGTATCTCTCAGCTGTGATCAAACACTGGCTACTGAAGTTGAACATGAAAACCATGATAGAGAAAGAATCCTAATTCCAGAAACTTCTCCTCAATTATCTGCTGAACCGGAATCACTTCCATATCAAATCACATCTCAAAGTGGGCAAGATTTGGTAGAGCATCCTCCAGTTGCTCTTATGGGTTCAACTCTTGATTTTGGATTAGTTAATCAAGTTGATCACGTGCCAAATGGTGAATTGTTTGCCTTCTCCCAAAGTAATGTGTCTATGCCCCAAGCTACAGTAAATACAGCCGAACTTCCAAATCAAGTTCTGCTGCAATCTGAAGTAGATTTATCTCATGCTCGCGGGTCTGGCAACCTTGCATCTCAGCCTGCTCATCAAGTCCCCTCTTGGTATCCATCGCCATCTTTGCATGCTGAACCACTTCAAAATGAATTATTAAGGATCAGTAAAGAGACAGAAAAGGCAGTTAAAGTTCATGAAGATTTGGTTAGTATCTGAATTGCTTTGTAATCACATAATAAGTCTGTTTTGTATGTTCTGATTCTACTAGACATCTCTCATTTTGCAGAAGTTGTTACTGAAATCTGAGTGTGAGAAGGAGATACAGGAAGTTATTGCTCAAATACAAAATAAATACGAGGCAAAACTTCATGATGCTGAAACAGCATTTCTGCTGAAAAAGAATGAACTTGATAAGAATCATAATAAAGTTCTTATGAATAGAATATTGGCTGAGGCTTTCAGATCAAAGTGCTTGGATCTTAGGCCTCCTGGGCCTCCTGGAATGCAGCTAGGTAATAATTCCTCGGTGATACCCTTTTAAAATCGCTAGTAATTTTTTCATAGTTTATAATTTTGGTATCTGAGTTGAGCTTGTGATTTTAACATGAGTTTAGCATGCTCAAAATTCTCAATACCATGTCTGTGTGAACTACTGATGAAAATCCTTTTCGCCCACCTAGATATTCAAACTTAATAGGCATTAGAGATGGCCTACAAAGACTATGCCATGTTGAAAGAGTTCTACTGTGAACTTCCATTCGTAAATAGCGTGTATCAAGGTTAACCTATTTGTCTCAGTTAACCTGCTCCAACCAATTCCCCAAAAGAGCGGATGGTAGTGCAGTTTGTATTGGCAAATTGGACGTCTGGGTTGAAAATATTTGCTTGCTAAACAATTCATGATTCCATGGATTGATGGGTTTGCTTGCTGGACTAAGAGCATGCATCCGATAGGTTGCCCATGTAATTACATAGTGATAGACACAACTCAAGCTGTGAGTTTGAATAAACTGATATGGTAGTGCTAAAATTTTAATACTAATAGGTTACATTTGGTACATATTATAGAATTGGGGGAATAGGATTAGGAGGGATAGGATCGGGGAGGATATGAGGGTGGATTGTTCTAATATGGTGTTTGGCGCTACACCGTATTAGAAAAATGTGTAGTTATTGGAAAATAAAAAAATTATTACAATATTTTTTTTATTTAAAAAAAAATTATTTTTTGTACTTATTAAGTAATTTTACCCATAAGCGGTTTTATTACTAATTATATAATATTTACTTCTAAGTAAACTCTTTGCTTATTTGTGTATTTTCCTTGTGACTTTTATCTCTCATTAGTAAATTTTTTTACGTATAAATTATTTTTTACATAAAAGTTATTTTTAACTCATAAGTAATATTTATAACTTATTTATAACTTGTAAGTGAATTTTATTCATAATAAATTATTTTTCTAATACGCAATTTTTTTACTTAAAAGATGATTTTTTGCTTATAAGTGGTTTTTTACTTGTACATAAGTTTTACTTGAAAATGATTTTTTTAGTTATAATTTTTTTTTTAGTTATAAGTTATTCTTTAACTTATCAGTGAAATATTTAGTTTCTATTTACGTGTAAGTTTATGTATTTCAATTCAACTTTTTTTTTTAAAATTATAAATGGTGAATAAATAATACGTGTCTAAACCCACCTATATAGTGTATTAATTTTATACAGTGACTAAAAGAGGATAACCCTACTAGATTAATTTAATCAGGTACCAAACACCATATAAGATTAGATAAGATTACATCAGTCCATATATGGTCTAATACGGCGCATCAAACGTGCCCATCGATGGCAAAGACCATAAAGGGCATGGTCTTGAATGCCACATGTTTTACTGGATTTAGTTATACAAGTTTTGGTGCATATGATAATTGTAAATGCCATGGTGGGACACCATTCCGAGTAGTAAAGTATAACTTTGTCATCTTTGTGGAAATGAATATCATCTTAAATACATGGATCTTGCTACATGTACATAATTTACATAATGTCGCATGACACTCTATCATTTGTCAGTTTAAAATACAATCAACTTTTTCATCAAATCTTTTCCCTCCACATCATATTATGTAATCCATTATTTACATTTTTTATGTACAAGTAGCAAAATCCTAATATATATATATATTTTTTATATTTTTTTTATTATTTTATTTTTTGTTTAAATGTTCGGAATCTCCAGAACCAGGTGTCCACCACCATGTGCAAGATTCCCTTGTTGCTTTCTAGCTAGGTTTTGGGTCAACTAAATTGTATTCTAGTTTTACTCAATATTGTTCGTTTCTTTTTATATCAACCATCTATAAAATTGTCCGACTAATTAAAGTGATGCATTTTTGTTTGCACTCGGAGAGTAGAACTTTGGTCCTTATGGTTTTATTCTATTTGCAGCTATGTCTTCCAGTTTCATGCAGCAGCTGCAGCAGCTATCAATGCAACGCCCTGTGAGACACCCAGTATCTTCAGTTTCCCAACCTCAGACTATGGTTCCTACTGTACAGGCTTCACAACAGCTACCACTGCCAAATTCTACTGCACCATCCCCCGTCTTTGTTTCTTCTTCGAGACGCCATCCTCGGATTGTGACTCCAACTGTACAAGCTGCACATCAGCCATTGCTGCCACATTCTGCAGGACCTCCCCCCGGCTTTGTTTCTTCTTCGGGTTGCCAACCTGCTGCCAGCCAGCATAATCCCACACCTGCTGTACAAACTGTACGCCGTGCATCAGCTCGTTTGTCAGGCTTACCGACCAGACCCCCACGCATAAGTGCCATCACACCTTCCACAGGTAATCTGCGCGTAGGAGAGGTCCGTTCTCCAGCCCCACATCTTCAACCTTTCCGGCCTTCAGCATCTGCCTCTGCAGCCAGTCTCCCTTTGCCTTCGCATTCGCAAGCTACGCCTAGCCAGCAGTCACCAACACCCCGTCCTGCAACTTCTCCATTTTCTCAGAACACGCCTCAACGAACACCACATTCTCAGGTGCCGCCACTGCCGACAACGAATCCCATTTCTCGTAATAGACCTCAGCCTGAAAGTAGGCTGTCCGCTCCTCATAACTCGTCTCAATCTGCTGTTCAGTTGCTTATGGACATGGATCTTCGACCTCGTGTACATGGACATAATACTTCTGCATCTGTACCTGATGGTACAAATTTTGGTTCGTTGGAGCAGTCCAACCTTGAAACGCTTGGTAATGCTCATGGTACCCTCCCCTCTTCAGTTGCTACCGCAGACGTCGTTTGTTTGTCTGATGAGGACTGATGTTTCAGAGAACTATACGACGACAAACTTCATCATCTACCCTAAAATGTTACGATTGTTGGAAGGCATGATCATTACGAAGCGGAATTTACTAAACTGACTGCAGGGGTTCGAGTTGTTTTTCATTGATAATAACCAAAAAATGTGCGTCTTCAATTGCCAGAGCACTTTTCTCTGTAGGGTTATTTGATTCACGCTTTTATATTTAGGATTTGAATTTGACGCTTTGCCGTATAATAGTCATATCGGCTAATATTATGCATTAAAGGGGTAATAACAGAAAATTCATGTTTGGTCGAGTTGAGAAGGTCTCCAACGCTCGTATGACTTATGGTCTCTCAACGTTTTGGAAGTCCACAATTATAACAAGTGGAAATTACGCCCCCCCCCCCCCCCCCCCCCCCCCCCCCCCCCCCCCTATTGGAATTAACAACTGAATTTTGAAATAATTTAACAAGTTTGTTAATTGTGGAAATTACATGGAGCCCTACATTTGAAAATTCAATTTCCAAAATCAGATTTGGTCTTTTAAGTTTCAAAAATCAGATATTTTAATGTATAGATACAGATTTTTTATATTTAATTAAATATTAATAAAAATATTATGAAAATTAAATTATATACACCCCAACTTAACCTAAATCCATAATTCTCACCTCTCTCTCTCTCTCATTAGTCTCACTTCTCACCCGTGTCGCTCTCTCACTCCAGTTTCGACCAGTCGCCGCCCTCTCTCTCTCGCACCGCCACCACGCCGCCTGCCGTGCGAAGCAGATATTACAGTTTTCACAAGCCTCGGCCGTCACTCTCTCCTCACTGCCGACCAACTCTCCTCTCTCTCCGTCGTCTTCTTCTTTGTTCTCATCAGTGTCGTCGCCGAGACAGCCAGCCACCACCACATCGCTGGCGCCCCAGCAACCCGGCTCACAGCCGATGCGCCTCACCTTCTGGCGACGCTCACCTTCTCCAGAAGCTCTGTGCCGATTGCCTTCTCTAGGAGCTCTGCGTCGATCACCAAGAGGTCCTAGGGTGTATTGAGATCTACTTCCGTTTTGGGGATTTAAATTCAATATAGCAATAGTTGGAATTCGATTTTGCAAAAATATGGTTTTCTCGTTTCTATCTCTTTTCTGATTTTGTGGTGCCCGGAGTTGGGGACTGATTTGTGGTGTATGTGCAGATGGCGATGTTAGGTTTGGGGATTTTGTTGGTAGGGTGGTGGCTGTGATGTGGTAGTGTTTGAAGAGATGTGGTTGTGGAGGTGGTGAATCTGACGGTTGGATGGCGATTGTTCGTTGTTGGTGCTGTGACCTATGCTGTGACTTGAGCCATGTGTTGTGACCTGAGCCATGTGTTGTGACCTATGCTGTGACTATCAACAAAAATCTGAGTGTTCGAAAATAAAATGGGACTATGAACAAAATCGGAAGCCATGTGCAATATATTCTGTGACTTGTGCTGTGACCGTTTGAAAATAATCTGTGACTATTAACAAAAATGTGAGATATGAGCCTTATTATGTTATCAATCATTATAAACAAAAAATCATGCGTTGTGACATGTGACCTGGACTGTGACTTGTGACCTGGGCTGTGACTGTATAAAAAAATTCATGTCACCGGAGTAGTTACGGGAATCGGAGTGGTCGCCAGAGAGGTCGCCGGAGCGGTGGGGTGGTGGAGGTGGGGGTGGGTTAATTATATATATATATATATATATATGTGTGTGTGTGTGTGTGTCAAAATTTCTGATTTTTGAAATAGGGTAAAGATAAAGTAGGAAAACTGAATTTTTCCCTAATAACAATTACTATGTACTTGTGTTACTCATCCATTGGACTGCCAGGTCTAGTGTACATCGTATTTTTTTACTCAATGTGTGTATTTATGAAATTCAGTCAGTTTCTCGACTCTGCGACTTTTGGAAGTTTTTCAAGTGATTTTGACTACATAACTGTTTATTTTTTAACTAGTCGAAAATTGGTAGTGGAATTGGTCTGACCAAGAAAGCCTGCTTGGGAGTTTTGGGTAACGGTTACGACTTACGAGGTTCTTTGACTATCAATTTTGATCTTTTATGGGGGTACGATTTTGGATGATTTTTAATAGCTGTTTTTAGAGAAGTTCAACTCGTGTTTGAAAGTTTGTTATCTATCGATTCTTTCGTATATGTCCTTTAGTTAAATTTTTTTATTTATTAATTTTTTGTATGCATTTTTTTTACTCATAAGTGTTATTTTATTTAAAAGTAATTCTTTTATATATAAGTTAATTTTTAACTTAAAAAGTGAAATGTTTATTTATAATTAAAATTTTAAGTTACAACACATAAGTGAATAAATTAAGTATTCGCAAAAGTAATTTGAAAAGCAATTTTTACTTAATATTATTATTTTTACTTTAAAAGCAATTTTTCATAAAAGTGAATATTTCACTAATAAGTAAAATTTTCAGTTATATAGTAATTTCTTGCTTATGAATAGTTTTTTAATTATTGTATTTTTATTTATAAGTTACTTTTGAATATAACTAGGTGCAAGCAACGTGCAATGCACGTTTGCTTAGTTTATATTTAATATTTTTGTTTAATAATTAATTTGTTATTAATAAAGATGTAATTTTTTTGGTTAATTAAGGGCGTGTCTGGGCGCGCTGCAAGGAGGAAGGAAAATTGATTATGTTAC